CCATTCCTGTTGCATATTCTTATATTCTGTATTGAGTTTACCAGCAAAATCTACACTGCATTCTCAATTTTGAGCATTTGTGAGCATAGGGAACTCTGAACAAAACTAAATTCATCAACGTGTTGTAAGTGTCCTCTAACATCATTAAAAATTCAGTGAAAAAGGCCTATACTGTTTTGAATTTTCGGCATCCATTATGGTCTATCTGTGAAAGACAGAATAATTAACAAACAGGGATCGGGAGTAGTAGTTTCCAGTTGATATCCAGTTGTTTGTACTGGCATATTTGAAAGTCGAATTAAGGAAGCTATAGGTTCATTTAAGGATTCAATCAAGTCCATTTGGAACACAAATTAGAAGATACAGAAGTCTCTGATATCTAAGGTTGGGAAACCGTGATGTTGAATGTCGGGACATGGCTGTACAGTATACTATATAGTCAATATATGCAGTGAGCAGCTGCTGCAGTGCCAGTTTCTGGGTTTTCTTTCTGTTTCAAACCGTGAACCATGGCTCCTGTTTCAGTGAAAACAATGCACTGGACTATTTTTTTCCAGGAAAATAGAGAACTGATAGAGAATGAAGAGAGAGCTGTAGATTTCCTAAAATTACTAATAAAAGTAACTCAAAGTTAAGCCCAAAAGTTCTTTCACACTGAAAAGTCAGAATGTTTGTGAAGGCTGTTTTTATTTATTTTTTTCTTTTACATTTTGATGCATGTTAATGCTTGATGAATGAAATGAAATTAAAATACCTGCTATGACATAACTGCTAGTCCATCTCTCTGGATGACCTGCAGCGTTCTCACACAGGTGCCCACTATTGCATCTGCTTGATTTTTGTTTCTTAGTATGACAACATTTTGTTGGGAGAAATGGTATCTGAAACCACTACAGTTTTCTGAGCGGGGAACAACTTCATATGCACCAGAGTCTCAATTTTCGCAGTAAATGCAGATCAGAGTAAATACACAAAGAGGATGAACTGAGCACAGGATGTGGTAGAATACTGTTTGTAATAGAAGACAGAATTAGAAATGCTTTCTGTTCAAAGTCATTATAAGATTGGGAACAGGGGCACTTCTTTATGACTGAGAGCTTTATGACTGATGACTCTTATAGCAAAAATCATTATTGCTAGTTATTTTAAATAATCTGTTTATGTGCAAAAAAGTACATACAGATCAGTACTTTTCTTTTATACTAATATTTAAGGCTGTCGTGAGACAGATCCGGGGTCACTATATCGCTTCCTTCTCCAAACATACATTGATACCCGCTGACGTTTCATTAAATAAAATGACCTTTGACAGCAGGATCTTGTTTAAAGAAGGCATTATCGTTTTTGCTGTCACAGGGTCTGTTTTGTTGAAGCAAGTGCTGTAGTAGTTGAGGCCATCTGTCTTGGCACTCTCTGTTTGTCAACTGTTCCTCACACAGGGAGTGCTGCAGCTCTTTCTGTGTTTTCAACAATAGCCTGTACTCTTTTGCTTGTCCATATTGGCAGTGCAGCGCAGTGAATAATCCTGATTCACCCAAGTGTGATGCACTGTTACGCCCCGGATAAGAGTATTTAATGCAAATGTGAAATCCTCCATTTATTTGCTCTTGCCCCTCCTCTGTTAGGCCTGGTTCATTCCTGAGGAGTGAACTGCAATGCCTTTGCTCTGTCATCTCTACCTTGCCCCAGGGTTAGGCTGAAGTCTGCGAGCTTGTTAGGATCTGTTGCACACAGCTAAGGAATTCCACATTTCCTCGCAGCCACTGGCAGCAATGACCTGACCAGGCACTGTTACTTTTCCCAAGCTCTCAGGATCACAGCCCTTGTGCGACAGCAAAGGTAGTTGCAAGCTGCCTGATGGAAGTCTGGTGCAAGTTCACGGTCTCTGCTAGTTTTCAACCAGGCTTGATGCAGGCATGAAATGATCAGACCCAGGCTTCAGTTAATAGATTTTCTCATTCATTATCATGCATTTTCCTATCACAAGTCACACCTTGCTGTTCATTTGTCTGGGACCTCTTGGGCTTGTCATGTCCAGTTAGTGTTTTTTAGGAAATTTCATTACGTGCTGTGATGTAAGTTAGTTAGAGGTGGCTGAAAATGTTGCTGGTATTTCAAATATTTGTAATACCAACAAAAGGTCTACAATTTATCTATGGACTGGTCTCCCTGCCTTTAGAAATACAAATACTGTTGTTTAGATGGCTGTATTTCTTAATTAATAACATAAGGAAGGCTACAAATGTAAAGAGGCTCTTTGGTAGTTTGTAGCTAATTGATCCAGGGATCTCCTCCAAGACATTTCTTGAAAGAAGCCAGGGTATCGGCTTCAACAACATGGCTGGACAGCATCTTCCATACTCCTACAACCCAAATTGAAATTGAAGTGCAGATAGTCTTATTGACAAAATAAGCGTAACTTGGAACCATTCAACAAGATACAGCAGATTAGTGGTTTCTTCTTTGTGTGTACATAGGATGTGGCTTCAATATGCTTGATGCTTCAGTTTGGTGGAAGAAATTGGATGGATTTATTCAGCCACTTACTAAGGTGAGGACATATGGTAACTAAGTTAATTTTTTCTGAGCATCATTTTCTGTAGTGTAGAATGCAGGATGCTCCTTTTTAAAAACAGTGCTGGCTCATGAGACACTAGAAGGCAGGTAAATGACTTCAAAATACCACCCAGAGGTGCCCATCCCTTATAATGATGATGATGACAGTTATATATTTGTTTGTTTTGTTATCCTTTTCGACAAATCTAGCCAGACAACACCCTTTCATCTCCCAATGCATCTGGTGGTAATTCAGCCCATAAAAATTCTTCTTTATTAGAGAGTTATGTGACACAAGAATGAGGCCAGTTAGACATGCCATTAACCTTCAAGACTGTGATTTAATGAATAACTTGGCTTTTTCAATGAAAAACTCTGCAACAATGTGTTTTGGTACCAAACCAAAGGTTAGTCCTACAAAACAGTCTTTGTTTCCCTGCTGCATTGGTCAGTTTTTAGAAAATGTATTTGTGCTTTAGAAGCTGTGACCTTGGCAAACTCTGTAGTGCTGTTCTGTATTAACAGAGGAAGACAGAGAGAGAGTATAGTATGTTATGAGTTGCCATGTAGAAATGGGTTCCCGGGGAATGAATAAGGACTATTCTTTTCACTAGGGATTGCCTCATAGTTGCTGCCTATTACAGCTCACTGATTAGAGTGCTTTGTGCCTTATTGTGTCTACCAACGGTGGTATTTAACCCATAGATTTCCAGTTATTCTCATTTACTTGCTTTTCATTTTTTTGTCAGATTTATTTGTTGCTATTTAGATTTAGAACATCCATCTAATTCCTCACCTGACTGATTCAACCCATGTGATGACACGCAACTGGATATGTCAGAACACAAGGCAGGGAATTTTGCTCATATTGCTTTATGAAGGGATGCCAAGCTCAAGGCTTTTCAGATTTTTCCTTCATCTCAAACTCACAAGGAATGTAAAGGACAAACATCGGTATATTTTAAAAATTAAATGTGGTGTTTCTTACTGCGATTTGAAGTTAGGTTTGTCCACTTTTGTGACTCGTGATTATATTAACTTTTATATTTATATAATCAGTGCTTTTAAGTTCATTTGTTTTTGCAAGATGAAGACGAGCTGGTCTAAGACTGAGATCTTGGCGACTCCATGACATTTATGAGCAAACTCATAAATTTCACTCAGGCAGGTGAGGTGTCAGTAGTAGAAATGGAAAGCAGTTTTTCCAAATAGACACTTCACTTTGAGATTTTCAGTTGTCTCCATAACTTCAGCAAAGTTAACTCGACTGCTTGAGAGCGTGGCTGCAGGTTGTAGGATGGTGGAGCACAAATGCTTCTGCCCAAATACACATCAGGGTATTTGTGTATTGTGTATTTGTGACCTGATAAAAACTTGTCAGAGTTGTTTGATATTGTAAAATCAGGAGATGCTGTAACCATCCAATTGTAAACACAAGGAAAGCCAGCAGAATATGTAATCTACCTCTTGGTATGAAATTTATCCTTTTAATGATGCTAATGCAGAAGACGTTTTGGATTTGTGGTAGATATTAGGAAAAAAAAAGGTAGTATAGGTATTTATTATTAATGACATAAGACAGTCCTCTAGAAACTCTGTTTGAGACCTCTAAACTGAATTGCACAAGAGTGTTTTCACTCTGTAGGCTGATCTCCTCAGATTTCAGAAGCCAAGGAAGGCTGGGCCTGGTCCTTTCTGCAGTGGGAGACTTCTATGAAACCCAGACTGATGTTTCAAGTGGTGTTAGTGCCCCAGGAGGTGGTACTCTTTCCTCCAGAAATTCCAGACCAGTGTCCCAGGATGGTGGCTGGGAACCCTGTGGTGTGGGAGGTGTTGTGCTTTGGATGAGCTTTTTAATGAGGTCTTGATCATTAAAGCTCCCATAGCACTTTTCAATGGAGTAGTACTGTATGTGTAACTGGTGGATTTCCACTCGTTACACATACAGTACTACTCCATTGAAAAGTGCTGGGGTTTAATTCTAATTCTTTCTGGAGGACCCTTTAATACAGCCGGTGGAGTCATGACTGATGTCTCCACCTGATCCACTGTGCAGTGGGGCTGCCAGCACTTTTAACTGTTGGGCATCATTTCTCGAGAAGAAAGAGAAAACCCTTGTGAACATTGGGAGGAACATGCAAACTCACAGAAGGTGCCCCAGCCCTAAATTAAACCCAAGACTAAAATTGTCCTTAATCAAGAAAAGAATGCTACAGACCAGCAAACAAATGTTGATATACATGGTCCAGGTTGTTAAGCAAAACACAAGTGGACAGTCATAGGTATAAAGACACCCGATTATCACTTATTTTCTGTGTGACAGTAACAGAAGTCCCTGTAAATCTAATTTGTTCAAAGTTGGTGATTGAATCAGCATAGAGTACGTGTTTTAATATGGGTCTCTTTGAAAGATTTCTTCACCTAATCGTGCCTCTCTTTTCCAGTTAAAGGGACTGATGTGACTTCAGACAGGACTGATGGCATCCCCAGACCCCATCTCCCCCTCCATCAATGGTATGTACTCACGCTTGTTCTCATTTACAGTGGTGCAGTACATCGGCAACACAGCTGAACATGCTGCTGTCTACAGAATGGGCAGCACAGCTTGCAACTAAAATCTCGTGCATTCAGTTAATTAACATGCGGACCATCTAGTTTTACTAATCAGGAAATTATTCTGTCCTGAAATTTAATACAGTGTTCTAATACAGAAGCATAAATAAATAATCAATAATACATATATAACATAAATATTGCAGTGGTTAGCATTGCTGTCTCACAGCGTTGGGACCCTGGGTTCAATTACAGACTTGGGGTGCTCTCTGTGTGTGTATGTTCTCTTGTGGGTTTCCTTCAGATGCTCCAGTTTCCTCCCACAGTCTAAAGCCACACTGGTATATTAATTGCCTTCTAGGGAAATTGGCTCTGGTGTGAGTGTATGTGTTTGTGCTTGTGTCTGTGTCTCCGGCTTGCCCGCAACCCTGTATTGGATAAAGGGGTTAGAAAATGGATGAATGAATACAATCACAGATACAGATTTCCAAGGGATTACACCAGATAGCCAGGGAGGCAGTGTGGTACAGTATTTGAAAATTGCATTGCCTGCCATGACCAAGGCAGATAAAAATTCCCTCTGGGGCTTGTAAGAATATACCTATAGGACGTTCCTATTTTTTAGAACTATGCACTCTGAGTTCCTCACTGCCCCTCCCACCTCCTCATGAGCTTCTGTGTAGCAGAATGAGGGAGGAGCAGGGTGGGGGAAGAGCGTGGGGTCTGCTCGCTGGTTTCTAACATCTCTGATTCTCTCCAACACCTATCAGATCACCCTAGAGAACTACGTGTATAACACAGTGCTCACACACTAATTCTCCACTTGCCATTTGTGTCTCTGCGTGTCTGAATTAGTCGCTGGAAGAGCTGCAGTTTTGGAATGTAGGTTAGAAACACTTCACAGAACTTATGAATAGTTCTCCCACACACTCCCTACTACCACCAACATGGCTCATAAATATCTTGAAATTTTGCTTTATTTCATTGGAAGCTGTTGTTTCTGGCACGCTCACAGCAGGATATGCAGCCCTGCAGTTACTCCACTTTTCTGGGAGTAAAAGAAGCGCTTGAAGTGAAGGACAGAGAGAGGCGATTCTTGACTGCTGTGTGCTTTTCCCCTCCTGGTTACACAGGGGTGGCCAACCCTGATCCTGGACAGTCACTGTCCAGAGAGTGTTTACCGAGTTATCCCCATCATTAGACTGATAAGGTTATAGAATCGTTTAAAACTGGTAATGTGTTCCAAGTTTTTACAAACTAATGACAAAAAAGGTGATGTAGAAGTGACTGTTTTTCCAGGATCAAAGTGAGTCACCATGGGATTGTTAGTTACACTTTGGACATGTTTGAGGCTGTTTTCCACCCCTGCAGTGCTGTCTAAAGGGTAGACTTTAGGGACTGGGGTCGCGGTCTGGTACAGTGATTATAGCAGGCAGCGCTTTGAGAGCTTACAAGAACTCGAAGCAGTTTGCACGGAGATCAGCAGGAAAGGGCATGGATTTACCAAGTGTCACGTTATGCCACACGCGGGCGGGCGATTCCGGCATTTTCTTTCCTGATCCCCGGTTTGGAGCTGTCCCGAGGGCAGCCCCTTCTCCAGCGGCGTGACCCTGCTGTGTTCCCGCTCTGCGCAGATGCTGTCATTCCCCGTGGGGCCCCTCGACAACCAATCAGGGCCAGGAGCGTCCTGCACAGGAAATGATTGCGCAACACTTGGAAATTTGAAGCAGATGCTCAGCTGTAGAGAAAGAGAGAGAGAAAAAGAGTTGTTCCAGGGAAGAGTGAGTGCGAATGCATGCGCGTTTGTTGTGCTTAGAGACTGCTATGGAGAAAAACAGCCGAAAGAAAGCTGGGGCTTCGATATTAATTAACTAGTATCACTGTTCACTTTTCAGTAAGAGATTTATACTGAGAAATACTCTGTTTTGTCATGCCACAGAGTTACAAGAGGTGAGAGAATGCGGATGAACCCTACTTAAATACTGATTAAAAATATACAGAGCAGTTTGGTTTTATTATTCACATCACTTTTTCTTCAGCCACCAACCTTGAACACTACACATTGATATAAGAACATTGTTTCATTTTCCCATTTAAGTACAGAATACGAGAAGGAAATAGATGTCTGTTGTTGTAATTGTGTTTCAGAGCAGAGGGATACCTGACATTTAAATCGTTTGAATCAATTTATCGTGGGAACAATCGCCTTGTGTGTAAAGACACACTGTCTCGGTCATTTTGAATGTGAAAGATTGACAAAAGCAATGACTTACGGAAAATTAAATTAAAATAAATCTGCACTGTCACATCATATTAACTGACTTCAGTGCCATGGTTTACTAAAAATATATTAACTGGATTTTTGCTGTTAATGGGGGTATCCATAGAATAACGGGCATCTCTAAAGTATATTATATTCTATAAATAGGGGAAGGAGCTGTAACTGGTAAACTTAAAGTTTGATGGTACGCACAATTTAATATTCCTGGTATCTTTAGGTTGGTTCTAAAGACATGTTGGACTGGAACCTGTAAGGAGCCAATTGGCTCTTTAGGTCTCGGCCTGACAACAATAACTCCAGTATTAGACAGAGTGATGGAGATTGATCCGCTCACACTTTGAGCCTGTATCCACTGACATGCTGCAGGTTCCAAGGTGTCTAATAGGAGAGTTCGTGCACCCAGTGTTAGTGTTATCTCTCACTGTGAAGCCTCTCTGACTTGCTCCAGTCACAGTTTTGCAGAGAGCAGAAAGAGCCCCGTCTGACTAATTCCAACCACACTCCCGAAGCCACGCTGCCAAATTGTATTCGGACACTCGGGGAATCCTGGTCACAGCGAACTAGTGATATTGTGCAGAACTGATCTTGTGATTTCTGGACCATGTGGTCCGTTCCTTCACTATCTGAGCCGCTCAAGAGAGAATGGATTTGCATTTGGAATCAGGCACCCATTAGCAGTGGATATAGTGGACTTCACACAGCTCATTTGGGAAAATGATCCAGTCTCCACAGAATTTCTTAGGCCCTGTTTCTAAGGTCCCCACTCTGGAGCCGCAAACTGGGCAGCAGCTTGGATGGGTGGCACGAGGGTCCCGATGTTTATATTGTAGACAGTGAGAAAGTAATACGGATGGATGAGGATCATCCATCCCCAAGCTGGATGTGTTGTCTGTGTATATCAAGCCAAAGCCTCTGTTGTGTCAAGCAGCAGACTTGCACACAGCTATATCCAGTGGCTTGCCAGCAGCCGAATCATACTGCAGCTCACAACTTGCAGCCCCCTGAAGCTGAGCAGGTGTGAGCCTGGTCAGTACCTAGATGGGAGACCTCCTGGGAAAGCTAAGGTTGCTGCTGGAAGAGGTGTGAGTGGGGCCAGCAGGGGGCGCTCACCCTGCGGTCTGTGTGAGTCCTAATGCCCAGTACAGTAACAGGAACACTATACTGTAAAAAACATGCTGTTCTTTGGATGAGACATAAAACTTAAGTCTTGTTTCTCCCTGATTGTTAAAAATCCCAGGGCATTTCGTGAAAAGAGTAGGGGTGTTACCCCGGTGTCCTGGCCAAATTTGCCCCAGCCTTTACCAATCATGGCCTCCTAATAATCCTCATCTAAGAACTGGCTTCATCACTCTGCTCTCCTCCCCACTGATAGCTGGGGAGACTGATAGTGTGTGGGGAGCATTCTGGTGCACTATGGCTGATCTTGTCTGCATCTTTTTCATGTGTGCTTTTCATTTTGTGTATGATTTGTTTTTCTTTAAATAGTAATTTATGATCACTCACAATGATACATGAAAATATTTGGAGCTGTTATCTTGCTGTTGGAGAAAAAGGCACAGGCAAGTTGTACACCGTTACTTTCATATCACTCCTGCACTAATACTACGACACTGTCCTTAGCCTGTGTTTAAGGTGCAGTGGGAAGGTTGCACCCTGATGAGACAGCAGCTTTCTTGGGTGCTTTGCTTTGATTCCCTCACCCCGTATCTGTGGTGTCTCATTCCTCGCTTATGAAGTTTTAATTGAAAAAAACATTATGTCAAAAAGAAGGCAGTTGTGCTCGGTTTTATTGCTAGTGTAGGGTAATATGGCTCAAACACAGACCCTTCTCATTTATTTAATATTTCGCTGCAGACTCATTTAAAAAAAACACATTTCACTCCTTGGCTGTGCAAAGCATTGAGGCACTTGAAAATGCAGGAGGACAGGAAGAGAGGAGAGCTCTTGCAGTGCGTTCGCCAGCAGACCAGCTGCTCTGACAAGATGCTGCCATTAGTCCATATGCTCTTGACACATGTCCACAAATAGAGCTCAGCCAGAAGATGAGCTGGCCAGTACCACATGGGCTTTTACAAGTGACCATGCTGCAGAGCATTCACTGCTCTCAATTTTCAAATGGAAGCTAACTGCTTTTTATTGCACTTGCTACGGGCCGAACACAAAAGGAAATCAATAACTGCAGAGAGGGAGTAAGAAACCAGATACGCCCTGGAAACTGAGCGGTGTCATGCACAAATGCATCCATCCATTTTCTGACCCTTTAATCGAATTCTGGGTCACTAGAGGGGCAGAGTCTATCCCAGCAATCAACTGATGCGTGGCAAGATACACCCTGAATGGGACACCAGTCCATCACAGGTCACACTCAAACACAGACACACACATAGTCTCGCCAGGACAACTTTTCCCAGAAGCCATTTAACCTACCAATATACTGTATCTTTGGACTGTGGGAGGAAACCAGAGCACCTAAAGGAAACCCATGCGAACAGGGGGAGAACATACAAACTCCACCCAGACAGCACCCCAGGAATTGAACCCAGGGCCCCAGTGCAGTAAGTCAGCAATGCTGACCACTGTGCCCTGTGTTGTGCGCCTTGGCCACTAATGTCAGGTTAAATTGTTAAAGTAAGGCTTCACATTCACCTCTACAGCTGCTTGTGTGAATGGGTACTCTTGT